GTCAAATGAAAATATGTCTTTAAACTCTGACAAACCACCGTTAAAAAATGTGAACTGAGAATTTTTTTTAAAAATCGCCAATTATACAAAATGAGACCGTCTCTCAAAAAATGTGAGCGCCTCCACTGAACGTGTCGAGAGCTAGCTTACAAGCTAACAACACTGAAGTGAAACCCAGGGAAGGGCGGCGGGCTCGTCCTTGCTTAGTTTTCGTGTCGGTGTGTGGGTGCACAACGAGACACTTCAGGGAAAGTTCATCTTAGTTCAACATGGCGACATATGACATTTGAGTACATAAAGTGTATTAGCATCTGTCAATTTGGCTGATCTAGTTGCTTTCCCAATGATACCATCAAGACAAGGATTTAGGGATTGCATCCCTAAAAAAAAAGCTGTTTTCCGGCGCTTGGAAACTATCAGGCGGCTGCCAAATCGACCAGTCCTGGCGTACCTATTGTTAAGAACAGAGTAACTTGCACCTATGCTGGATTTGAACCAATTATGAATTTACTTCATCCATGGCATCAAAACTCCATATTTTTTTTTTCTTCTCAACACAGGTCCACTTCAACATCACCATTGGCCTCCACACCTGTCCTGACCACGGTGCCGATGAGGACATTCAAGTGATGGTTCGCCCCGTGGGCTACAATGAATCCACCACTGTGAGGATCCACTCAAAATGTCAGTGCGGTTGTGGGTCAACAAGACGCTGCCACGAGAGCGGACGCTCGCCATGCGCGGGGACTATCGACGGCCCAGGTTGGGAGCAGAAGCCGCATCGGGGACTTGTTAACGAATCAAACTGGAATTGCCGAGCGGAAGGCGCTCAGGTGGACTGTAGCGGTCGTGGAGTGTGTGAATGTGGGCGGTGTACGTGTGAGCACAGCAGACTCGGCACGATCTATGGGAAATACTGTGAGAGTGATGACTTCTCCTGTTCTTACAAAGACGGACTGCTATGTGCGGGTAGGTTTTTGACGGGTACTCTTTAATTCTCAATACAGAAGTGCACATTTAAAAGCAATGAGAATAATGCAGAGGATACAACCGTTGTCAAAATGGTCTTGTGTCTGTTCCCGACAGGACGTGGTGCGTGTGTGTTGGGTGAATG